GAATTTTCATTAGCTACGACTGAGCGCTTTGTGAAGATTTGAGGCACATGATTTATGGGTTAAAACGGCTTGGCTCTCTGTATGTAAGGGTTCTAGTTCAATCTGTTATGTCTCTGGTTTAAGCTGCCAGCGCTTTCCAAACCACTAAAAATGCCAGATTCTTCAGAATGGACTCCTGTTGAACATGGCTACACTCTGGACCATAGAAAGACCACATGCCGTTTTATATGCAACATAATCTTAAAATGTGGAGCCTGTGCTGGAAAACAGCACGTTACTCTCTCCAAATGGGAGTTCAAAAGAGGCCTCCTCAAAGCAGCATAGAGGCTCAAAGCTTACCCCTGCTGTCAGGAGTTCTCCTGACCCAAACCGTGATCTCCAATAGTCATTTATTGAGTATTTTTGATTCGACTGCTTGGATACTACAGCCTGTGCATCATGAGACAAGCCTGAAGGGACCAGCATGAGGGAGTGCTACGGTCAGTCTGAGTCTAATAGTCTTGAGCCAAAGGTCACTGGATGTCAGATAAGGAAACAAATTTCCTCAACCTGTGGTCTTAAACACTCCCATGACCTGACTCATTACTGGAAGGGTAGAGAGCTTGTCACCTGGTAGCTGAGAAATAGCCAGAGATTGAAGGGAACTAAGAGGGTGAGTGGGACTCTATTGGCGTAAGATAGATGACTTGTTCTCCTAATTCCTCACCTTGGGTTCTCTATCTCGCTCAAATTCCTCTAGATGACCTTTAAGATAGCAGTTGGTGGCCCAAAATATGAGGCAGGCCTAGGGAAGAAAGAGGACACATAAAGATAATGAGTCTGTGTTTGTGGCATTGTTTTCCAGGCTGCATTTGTAAGGTGAAAAGGTTGTTTCAGACAGTTTTTCTCTAGGGTCTTCCTTTTTCTATGACAAAGTTCATGTGGCATGGTTAACTTGTGACCCCATGTGAGCATCATAAAGAGCAGTTCAGGTGAAGTCTTATTTACCCATTTATGTCATCAACTATGTAAGAGTTGATTTATTGCAGCTAACAAGTAGGGATGGGCAATGCATTGAGTATTTACTGATTGATTGATTGATTGATTGGTTGTTTTTTTTTTTTGCCACACAAAATGCTGATGGTAATTGTTTCTGGTCAATGAAGGTGTAATTCAGCTCTGTAGTAGCACAATACACATAAACATATAATGTAACACATATACAGTAAACACTATACACTCACTGGCCACTTCATTAAATACACGCCTTGTATCTATACTCTTTGTCCATTTTATCAGCTTTACTTACCATATAGGTGCATGTAACGTAGTTCTGCAATTACAGACTGTAGTTCAGTTGTTGCTCTGCATACTTTGTTAAATTAGCCCCCTTCCTCCCTGTTATACAGTGGTCAGGACCCCCACAAGACCACCACAGAGTAGGTGTTATATTTGGTTGGTGGATCATTCTCAGCACTGCAGTGACGTGTGGTGATGGCATGCTAGTCTGTGTTGTGCTGGTATGAGTGGATCAGACAGCAGTGCTCCTATAAAAATGCTTATATAAAAGCTCAGAAGACACATTTAGATTCACTAGTGGTTTTGGATGTAAGTAAAATGGCTATCCAAAACGTTGTAGACATGGTGACCCCTGGTTCCTATCACCTCCACTGTAAAGAAATCCAAGTCAGCAAATTTCTCTGTAAGGAACCATTTCACATCAAACCACTCTGAATGACTTTGTTTACATTACAGCAGCTGAATTATGCAGAAATTTAGAAAAAAATGTTGCAACATTTTGAATCCTTGCACCAATTTGTTTACTCATTGTATTTAATAAAGACTGTTTTGTCTAAATTATGATTCTCCTGATTAAAAACAAATGGCTCTTTTAAGCCACTTCAGAAGGAATGCATGAATAACAAGATATGTATTATAATTATTATAATGTTTATAATTGTTAGGTAGTCTCAAAAACCTTGTATGGAAAACGAAGGAAGCAAACTTTGGACATGAAACAAGCATTGGCTGACTAATGACATTTAGAGTAAGTGGGGAAAAATGTGTAAATTCAGTTTTTTTAATGCTTAAAGGCAATGTGAGCTGTTAACATGTTTGCAGGAGGGATACTGAAATACAAAAATACTTTCTTTAAGTGGATACAAGCCTAAAATACCTCTATCATGTGCAGTAACAGAAGTGTAAGCAATTATACAATGGAGTTTTAATTGAGTAAAGCATTGAGCATTGTTGACGCAAGAGGCAAATACTTCTCTCCATTGGAAGCAAACAAAAGCCTCCAATGTAATGAAAGCTTTCTTGCTAATGGAGAAGGTCTGCTCACTGAAAACAGCCCAACCGGTGCCCCCATGCTGCAGCTCTGTACAGAGAACGTCAGCGAGCGGAGGTCGAACTGGCAATCAAATTAGGCTCCTAAATTGGGTGGGTGAATGCTAATGGCCAGAGATAATGTCTTCTCCTGTATTCTCTTTCCCCTCGCTGACGAGTGGCTCTTTAGAGGAGGCTGTGCTCCAGCAGGCCTGTCATCGCACTGAACTCCATTAGCAAAGGCAGACGGACTCCCCTCACACTTTCCACATGCGCTTCCACTTTCTGCCTCAAACCCCGGCCGTTTGAGGCTCAGATGTAAACAAGCGGGGGAAAAAGAGACTTTTCATGCCTGTTTTGATGTTTACTTGCTTTTTTTACCTTTTCATTTGAAATCCGGGCGGCCGAGGCATTCAAGATGGTGTTTTGTGCGTGTTTGATGAAACGGTTTGAAACAGAAACATTTCAGAAAGAGGCTTTTCTCTGTGAGCAAAAGCTGCGTTCACTGGCTATCATTATCCTTTGCCGGTGAAAAATGAGAGTGCAGGGAATAACAAAATACGGACAATCAGAAAGCTGCAATAGAACGTGAGTAACTACTTATTGATCACAAATCAACAAAAGGCCATTTCCTATGATTTGAATCAGTTAAATGAAGGGTTGATGGATTAAAAGATACTCATACTCATCATTCACGCTGTCCACTCTGCTTTTATTCTCGTTTGACGTCTGTTTTGCTGAACTTCAAAGCTGTGGGTGCGTCTGGGTGTTGACAGTATGTAAGAGACTGTGATGATAGAGCAGCCCTGAGGCATTAAAACACAGAGCTAATAATACCCCACCTCGCTTCCATCTTTTACCTTGACCTCTTCGTATCCTTCTTATCCTTCTTTCTTTTCTCTCTCTCTCTGTTCTTTACTCTCTTCTCCCATTTGTTTTGGATCCCCACCACACAGCATCAGTTCCCTGCCTGTGTGCAGATTGATTTCAGATTTATAGGCAGTGACACAAGTAGCAGAGGGAGAGCCGGGGTGAGCTCCACAGCACAGCACTGCTTTCAGCCCTGTCTACCAGTCACTACTCACTATTGACCTATAGTGGAGTCAGACATTAAAGTTTTCTTTTTTTTCTTCCTCTGCGTTACAGTGCATAACATCTCAGCCGTTCTGTGTGACAGAAAAACAAACTCAATGCCACTTATTAGTGAAAAATGTTATTTCGTTTTTTACTTTAAAAAGTGCTCTACAGTGCTCTGTGATGTCATATGATGTGTGGTCATTCCAACCACTGCAAAACACTAGGGCTGTCTGCTGGACTCTGAAAGGACACTCAGATTTTTCCCTTATGTGTTTCTCAAACATTAAAATATATTTGAATGTATATTTTAAAGACATGCATTCTGAATAATTTTGACTTTCGAATATTTTTAAGAATTAGTAAGTGGATCTTCGATTATTCGGAAGAAAAAAACAACAAAAAGGAAAAAATGTATGTTAGTTTGGCAGAGAGATATATAGTTGTATGCAAAGGTTTGAACACTCATGGACAAATTGCATGTTTTGTTGATTTTTTTAATGGAAAATAAGTTAATGCACCATAACTTTTGCATGGGCTAGAATTTGTTTTATTTTTTCAGCATTTCCCAGCTTTGTTAGCCTGTGTGTGCCATTCTGTCTGAATAATAATTTCAGTCTTTGAATGCTGGCACCTCAAATGGATAACCGAGTACTTAAATATCCGTGCACATCCGTAGTGTATATATCAGTATAAATATGAAGCAGTCCTAAATGCTTAGGTCTTAAAAACAGGTGGTTTTCAACCTGGGAGCTGCAGATGGTTGTCAAAGGTTTGATGTGTTTCTGAGTGTAACTGTTCCATAAAATCCACAAATCAATGATACCCTGGTGTCACACACTGGCTAAAACTACATACTTACATTAGCTAATTATCTTATATATGTAACATTACCTGATTAACCACGCACCATATGGATCGTCAGGAGCGCTGGCTTGTTGGAAAAAATGTTCAGTTACATCATACAAGATGATGTTTCTGCCTGTTATTGTTATTCAGCTCATAAAATGAACATATCACCGAATTACTGAGTTGCTGAAGCTATTTAAATAAAAAAAATAGATTTTTGAAGTTTGAACGTTTGATCATTGATGCTCAGCAACAACATATTCTTTGTGTTTAGTATTTGTCTAGTGTGATAATGTGATCACATGGCTTGAATCATACTAGTAATCACAGCAGAGGTTTATATATTTGAATGTGCATTTTGTTCATGTTCAAATGTGCCTAAATGTCCTCTTTTTCATTGAATTCAATTAATATTTGAATTTAGATTTGTATTTAGATGGTTCTAAAATACACTATAGAACGTGTTGGGGGAAATATGACTGTGTTGTTTTACTGCCCCTTAAAAGATGAACCTGCTTGTCACACAGATGGAGCTTTGATTAATAGTGATGGTAAAGGCAGAGAATCAGAAGAAAATACAATAAGAATAAAATTAATCATCATCAACATCATTATTATCATCCTCTGCAAACTAAGCATGATAAAGAATCTCACATGCAGTTGTCTTTTGTTTCTGTTTGATATTAACATCAAGGTGGTCACCGTATTTAGCTATCAACCCACAGCTTGCAAACCCTAAGGTCTCTCTCTCCCTCTCTCTCTCTCTCCAGGTGACGGACAGGTCAGTGCGGGCGTTTGCAGAGCACTGTCCAGAACTGCAGTTTGTGGGCTTCATGGGCTGCTCGGTAACCTCACAAGGGGTCATACATCTCACCAGGGTGAGTGCTGTCATGCTAATTCATTGCAGATGTCTGATGAATGTAGGCTACACCTCCCTGTTACTTACTAAAAAACTTTTTTTAAACACCTCGCAATTCAATTCAAAAACATCGCTTAAGAACATTAACACAGAAAAATCAGTTCTGTTTTTCTATATTAGTAAGCACTTAGGTATTTTCCAGTAATCATGTAGACTGGAGGAAAACCAGCGCACACCTGTTTGGCGTAGGTAATGAGTCTTGCTTCACACCAGCCTCAATCCTTTTTTTCAGAGATTACTCAAACTCTGGTTGAAGTTTTCTTTTTTACTTTTAAATCTCATTAAAGTGTAATGAGGTGAATCGCAAAACGTAGACGCTCCGAGAACACCCTGCTGTTTGTACATTACCATGCTAATGAGAGCGGATTCCGTGGTTAAAGATATCTCCCTCACCGTCAGATCAAAAACACAGCCGTAATTGCCTGAATGGAAATGATAAGGTAATGATATTCCTTTTGTTTGTGTATACCACTCCTCATACTCTTTTTGCACTCGAAATCCGTGGTTAATGGCATCCTCTAAAAATGTAATTAAAGTCAGATTCATTGTTCAAGTGCTTCGGGTCAATTGACCAAAAATGAACGGCCTTAAAAACCAGCAAAAACTTCATATGCCCCATGTGGAAAAACAAGCCTACACCCAGTTCTCTTTGCATGCACCAGTATTGAAATGGATTATTTGTTATTTGTAACAAGAACACCTTAATTGCTTTAGTTATACATCATATAGGATCACATGCTCCTAATGGAAATAATATTCAGCTCATTGTTGAAAAGTATCTCAAGACGGAGACATCGCTTAAGCTGTGATTTGAAGATGGCGCAGCCCTTGAGCAGTGGAGAGAAACTCAATCTGCTGCAGGTGTCATTTTCATCCTGTAGGAAGGTCCTAAAAATATTACATTATACAATTCACCTGGTGGCGGCATTATGTGGCATAACAATTATTGAAATGAGGTCCCACTTCCACCTTGCTTTGCGCTGCGTTCTCTCTCTGGATTTTTATTTCCATTTCATTTAGCTCCAGAGCTGTGAATGGGAAATCAGCTCCCTCTCCACCAGAGGGACCTGCTTTATTCAACAGATCACAGCCCAGGCCCCCTTCTCAGCTCCAACTGGTACTTATTGAGCCTTTGCATTCTGAGGGGGGAAAGAAGAATTAGCCTATCAAGTAGTATGAAATAACAAAAAGTGAATGCGCAAGCAGAAGTTTGCACTGTTTCAAGAGGGAGTTGTTTGATATTTGAAGCCAAAAAAGTAAAATACTGGATATGAGCATCTCTGTACGGGTCTTGCGGCTTACAATGACTCTTCTCATGCTTACTTTCAAGTTTCTTGCTCGCATAGGAGCAACTGTTTTGAGAGAAAATCCTCCAAGCTTAGGTCTCAGAGCTGCCTGGCTCTTCTAAATAAGCCTCCTCCACTTCGCTCTCTAATGATCTCTCTCCCGGATCATTCAGCACCTCCGTCACTGCCATCCATCATCAGCAGGAGAAATGAGTCTCATTCAGGAACGGAATTTTTGATGACTCTCCGGGCCAAAAGGGTCTGCAGACCTGCCTTCATAACCACAGCCGGACTGTCACAAGGCGAGGACAGTTTGAAAAGTCATCAGAAAGAAGTCCATTACTTTTATTAACTTCTCACATTGCTCTGTTTAATTTGCATTAACTATGTCTTTCCTAAGCATGGCACAGATTGAATTTGAGTGAATTAGTTTTAAATTTAGTATGAGTGGAGGAGCTCTGACTTGGACCATCACTGACAGTGAGAGACGAAGTGGAGCATAGAAGTTTGAATGCTCAGACTATTACTGGACCACCTTCTACTGCCCTAGTGGCCTTTTGGAAAGGATCTACTGAGGAACATGTTTATTTTTTAATAGTGTAATATGTTTCCTCATACTTTCTCACAGCAGAACAGAATCATTATTTCGCAACACAGGGAAGATAAATTTGTGTCTCGTTCCTGCTCAGAGTACAGTGAGTGTTCCTGATGATATTAATAGCATTATTGATGTGCATTGTCGGGTCTCTGGGCTTTTTTAATGGAGCATGAAGAGTTGGACGTAGGTTCAGTGGAGTGTCTGGGGGAGGGACCTAGAGTTAAGTCGATTCATGCAAGTCAGAGTCTTGAAGAGTCTTGAGGCTTTAGAAGAGAATTTTAGTTTAGTCTCGTTATTAACTGCAGCTAGCTATATATATATATATATATATATATATATATATATATATATATATATATATATATATATATTTATATGTACACATACACACACACTATATGGACACCTACATATTACACCTACAGGAGATTTTATGACATCCTATTTTTCCATAGGCATTAATATGGAGTTGGTATCCCCTTTGCAGTTATAACAGCTTCTACTCCTCTGGGAAGGACTTTTATAAGATTTTGGAGGGCCTGGCTCGCAATCTCTGTTCTAGTTTGTCCCAAAAGTGTTCGATGGAGTTGAGGTCAGGAATCTGTGTGACCCCTAACTCACCCAACCATGCCTTTATGGACCTTGCTTTGTGCACTGGGGCTCAGTCATGCTGGAACAGAAAAGGACCTTCCCCAAACTGTTCCCACAAAGTTGGAACCATAGAATACATTTCCACTGCTCCAGAGTGCAGTGGTGGCGTGCTTTACACCACTCCATCCGACACTTGCCATTGTCCTTTGTGATAAAGCTTGCGTGCAGCTGCTCGGCCATGAAAACTCATGCCATCAAGCTCCAGGTGCACAGTTTTGTGCTGATGTTAATCTCAGAGCCGGTTTGGAGCTCTGCAGTTAATGAGTCAGAAGAGTGTTGGCGACTTTTATGCACTATGTGCCTCAGGACTCGGCGACCCCGCTCTGTAACTTTAAGTGGTCTGCCACTTCATGGCCGAGTTGCTGTGTTTTTTAAACGCTTCCACCTTTCAATAATACCCCTCACGGTTGATCGTGGTATATCTAGGAGGGAAGAAATTTCGTGAACTGATTTGTTGTAAAGGTGGCATCCTATTACATTATGATGCTCAATAGTTCAGTGAGTTCTTTAGAATGACTCATTCTTTCACAAATGTTTGTAAATGCATGGCTAAGTGTTACCTGTGGCAATGGGACTGAATGAAACACCTGAATTCAGTGATTAAGAGTGTCCTAATACTTTTGTCCATATAGTGTATATGCTTACATACATACATACAGATATACACCCACCAACCCACCGACTGGCCACTTTACTAAGTATACCTCTTTGTATTTACACTTTTTCTCTATTTTATCAGCTCCACTAACCATATAGGTGCACTTTAGTTACATTTAGGGCATCATATGCTTTCAAAGAGGGGGTATAAAACAATTAATTCTTTAATAACCCCTAATTTTTTGGTGATACGAAGCTGAAGACAGCTATTCACCAACGTTTGAATTTTCCCGTTCCACCTTAAATGGTGCAGCAATTATGTTCTGGCGCTTCAGGTGTCAATACTGCTGGACTACTTAAGGTGGAACTGGGAAGTTAGCTAGCTAGCTACCGAAACATTAGCATGCTATTATTATGTTTGTTATGAAGAAAACGACCATAATACATTGAAACGACATTAAACTAATGTAATACAGTGGTTATCGTAATTTTTTAACGGGGAAATGCTTACATTTGTGGGTTTCTTTGGCCGCTCGCACAGCCATCTTGCATGTTTTTCTTTTTTTCTGATAACACTCCGTTTGGAGTGTGCCTCTGAAAAATCTTTGTTTGGAGGGCCATGTAGCCCTAACACTTCACCCTACCTCTCTAGCTCAACAAAATTTGGGACACCCTAACCCTACACGTGAATGCACAAAACAGAGGGCTAAGGGCTAAGTGGTAGGGGTGGCATTGCTTTGGAGGGGTCAAAGGTCAGATCACTGGGGTTGTGTAGACTGGAAGAGTTGCGTAGAGAGACAGCTGGAAGCCTCTTCTGACTCCACTGCCGGCTCCAGGAGAAGTGTGGGATTTCGGCTTTCTTTCATGTTTTGAACAGCCCAGATCGCGACGTATATTTTCTCCTCCTTTGATAAATGAGTGCCAAGTTTTATACCATGGTGTATCACATGCTAATAAGTAGTCCAAGAAAAAAAGGGGGTAAAAATGGATAGAGGGACCTTTAAACCGACTTTCATTACTTGACCCCCTGCAGCTTTGCATTGGTGCACATATAGATTTAATACAGCATCACTCCCTCTCACCCTGTCACACATACCTTGGTCATTTGGAAACGATTATCACACGGTCTGTGAAAACGCCTCCAACAGCCGGCTTTAGCCAAGAAACCCCTTTACTTTGTTCTTTGAGATGTTTTAGATGGCCCTTCATTTTAATGGCTTTCCCTTGACTTCGTTTGCCCATCAATCTTGCTCACTCCCTCTGGAATTGTGATATTGTACTGAGATGGAGGAGGAAAGAAAAAAAGTCCATTTAGATAAAGGAAGACAAAAACAAAAGTCTGAGGAGCACTTTGTAAAGGCATCAGAGGAGCCCTGGCTGTGACAGTAATAACAGAACTCATCTCTGCCAGCTCTGTTCCTAATTTGAAGCCCCAAAGCCTGTTCAGTTCTGCTGAGCGCTGGAAAAATGAGCAAACAGAGCACAACGCTCCCGGCCCAACATCTGAGCCGAGCAGAGGATTCTAAGGGCTGGCCTCGAAGCCCAGCGCTATTAGCCTGATGTTAAAAAAGCCTAATCAACTCTGACTCTTGAATTTTTGGGGTTTTGTTTCTGACTTGATTATTTGGCTATTTTTTTTCCTGCTGGCAGTATGTGATGATTATTTAAGTGGCCGGCTTTACTGACCTCATTTTCATTGCCCAAATTCAATGGCATAGAAGCGAAGCAATGCTGGAGCAGTTATGATTATCATTGAATAGCATGTTCATCATTTATTAGTTATTGCTCAGTGTAATGTTTTATAAGTGGGTCATAATGATCAACATT